AATCATATTGTTTTGAGTCCTTTTTGTGTTTCTCTTACATTGGTTGTCTTGAGTTTCATCTCTAGCCTACCCAACTTGCTTGGGACTAAAAGTTTATGTTGTTGTTGTTGTCGTTGTTGTTGTTATTAGATGATTTGGCCGGATTTTCATTTCCACTAATTTAGGAAACAAAACTACTTCAATTCATTACTTGGATTTTCATTTCCAATAATTTAGGAAACAAAACTACTTCAATTCATTACTTAAATATGAATCGCATACAATTTTAACAAATTTGAAGATTTTTATGTCAAAAATGTGCTAATTATTTATTAAAACAAATCCAAATAAAAATTAATTCAAAAATTGTTTGTATCCTTTTTTATGTTTATAAAAAATATGCATTTCATGTGTTTAGTAGCAAATTTGGAGATTTCCTATGCAGAAATGTGAGATACGGACATTCAAAAAGTTTAGATTGAGTTTGATATGCCAACAATAACAGATTTTTAGATTTTTTTTCCATTCAAATCAATTTTGTAAATTAAATAAAAATTTCTTCCCAGAATATTGGACGCTATACCAAATATTAATAAACTCTAATATCCATGAATGATTTATGTTAATGAATCATGTGTGTAAATATATTGGTTTGATTTTCGTAAATAATAATAAACTAGTACAACACCCGTGTATTACACGGGTGTTTGCTATTTTTTTTTTAAATCTAAAATTAATGAGAAAAAGTAATTTGAAAATTTAAATACCTTTTATAAGAATATATATATATTATTATATAATTATTATGACACTTTTTATTTGTGCGACTTGCCCGTGTTATATTATATTAATTTTTTTAACTTACAATATATAACTACATTAAATATAAGTATATCAATTAAGAAATAATTTTATTTTTCTAATGAATTTTAATAAATATTATTATTTTTTGTTATTATAAAGATAAATATAATTTATTTATTTAATATATACAATATGGATGTCAAATCGAAAATCATCAAAAGATGATTAATCTGATATATTATATATGTAAAACCGATAAGAAATACAAAAGTTATCAACTTTTAAAATACATTTATAATTCAATAGTTTATTGAAGGAAACAAATCAAAATTCAGGGATATTTTAGTCACTTAGTGACTCACTATATAAAATTATAAAGAATTGAAGGGTTATATTAGTAAAAGTGATATTAAAATACCTAAGTTAGCTAAATAATATTTATGGAATACCCGAACCTAGATGATTAATTATTAATATATCAATATTATTTGTCCAAACCTAATTAAGAAGCATGATTCTTCGCCAAGTAGGATTCCGAAGCACCAGAAACAGCCACGTAGGCTCAGCGCATTCGGTAATTATATATAGGGAGGATTCAATAGCTTATTGAAGGAAGCAAATCAAAATTTAAGGATATATTAGTCACTTAGTGTCTCACTATGTAAAATTATAAATAATTAAAGGGTTATATTAGTAAAAGTGATATAAAATACCTAAGTTAGCTAAATAATATTTATGGAATACCCGAACCTAGATTATTAATTATTAATATATTAATATTATTTGTCCAAACCTAATTATGAAGCATGATTATTCGCCAAATAGGATTCCGAAGCACCAGAAGCAGCCACGTAGGCTCAGCGCATTCTGAAATTATATATAGAGAGGATTACATTATCTTTTGACATAACTCCGAACTTCTTTTATTTTTTTGGTTGTTTATATTCTTTAATTGAAATACTACATGACTTATTTGATTGAAATAACTTATTTTCCGGCATATAATTATAATAAATTAAAAATCTATTAATTTACCAAAAATCACGGCCTGGATCTATATCTATCAATCTCTGCT